TCTCTCTCATTCTCATGGCTGCTGTGTGTCACACTTGCATGATATTTGTCATATGACAGCTCATTCCTAGACATTTCTGTCCTTGTGCCATCTCCCAGAATACATGCAGAGGGACAGGCCCGCCTCTGAAGTCTCTCTGTATCTCCCATTACGTAGCATGGCGCTGGCGCACAGGCACGGATTGAAGACACGGGATGAGCGAACAGAGCATTTCTAGAACCACGTGATTACATCCAGCACAGCAGAGCCTGGAGCCAGCAGGGCTGGGGGTAATGAGGGTGAAGAGGAAGAAGTTTTCTTTTTCTACGGCTCTAATTTCCACAGGATCCACAGAGGAGAATCGGGCTGGGGCCTCGAGAGCAGCAGCACTGTCCCCAGAGTGAGACTACATGAGAACCAACGTCTGAACGCTGACACATCATAAATGCCATCTTCCACTACCCTAAATACCTGCGTTCACGAAGCTGGAGTCTGATTTCTCCACCAAAACAGCTCCCCATTAACTGTCACTCAATGACCCACGTGTCACTTCATAATCTGAGTTGGAAAGTGGCCCCTCGGAGTCGTGGCAGCAGCTGGCTTGCCCTGGCTCCCTGCAGCTTTGGATCCTGCCAGCAAATGATCCTCAGCTGCACCCCTGGGACCCCCAGCTACAGGCGGTCACCAGGGTGGCTCAGTGACGAGGAGGGACAGCAGCTGCGGCTACGGCTGCTTTTAAACTTTTCCTGGGGAAGAAAACACAGGGGTTTGGTATATTCTGTTTTTGCTTTTATTAAAGTGGTGTAGCTGCCGACTTGGCAAGCAAATGTAGGAAGGTGAGTGGCCTCCTTTCCTGAGGTCACCGGGCAGCCCAATCCCACTGGGGAGGGGGCGTGTGTGGACAGCAGGCACAGAAATAGCCACCGGGAGGAGCCGACGGGAGCAGAGGGGGCAGCTTTGCCCAGGAAGGGAGGAAGCTGGGGGGACAGGGACCCCAGCAGCCAGAGCTCGTGCGGGCAGAGACAACACAGCTGGGCCACCTGCGCGGGGTCTCACTCCAAGTGGAAAGCAGGACAGCTCTCCAGATGCGTCCACGTCTGCCTCAGCGCCCCCTCCCCCATGCCTCATTCTTCCCTCCCGTCTCACTCCCTGTCTCCCTGTCTGCTCCCCCTTTTAGCTCACAAAGAAGGATCCAGACTATGTGGGGGGCGGGAGAGACAGATGCCATTTAGGCATTAGAACACATTCTCTGGGGGACAGGGACAGGTACAAGCCAGAGGCAAGAGTATGCAGGACGTTCCCGCGGTGTGCCCAGCACGGTCTGCATTTGGGGAAGTAACCTTTACTGAAAACGGAAAGTCTGCTAGTGTGCCTTTAATTTGCGTATCACCTCTTTAGAGAAATGGTCCGTACAAATATTTATGAGAGAACTCCACAGCCCGGGGTATGATCCACTGCTGAGTGGTCTCTCTGTACTGGCTATGCACAGCATGAATCCAGACCCCAGTTTGCTAAAGTGCATGCTGGGCTGGTGGGGCCAGCAGCAGGCCCTGGACTTTGGTTATTACAGCACCAGGAAAACGGGATTTGTTACTGAGCCAGCAACACCAGCTGGATCGTCCCAGGCAATCTATCTGATTCCACAGACTCCCTGGGGGGCCCTTCTTAGAATGTTTGGTGGAAATTCTGGCTTCCACCCTCGAGCAATCCATGATCTAAGAGAAGAGAAAACGCACATTTGCACCAGATCCTCAGAGCAGGAGGAGGGATAAACTGAGTGGCTTTGAGATCTCCTTAGGAAAGGTGACCAACATCACACTGAAGGACATTGAGTTTGGAGGTGTTTTGAGTTTTTTGTGTTGTTTTCGATCTTGCTTTTGCTGTGAGCATCTTCGGACAATGGTCAGAGTGAACGTTACCCTGTGGAAAGTGAATCTCAGAGCCTCGTGTCAGCTCTGTGCTGGTGTGAGCACAGCTCCTGCTGGGAGAAGAGGTGAAGACTGGGGCCACTCAGAGGGGTGGGAGGGTCTCCAGGCAGTGGGAACCCGGGACTCAGAGAGACTCAGAACCACCTCAAAACTCACTCTTACCATGAATAAAGAGCATCTGAATGACAATAGCAATCACTCATGCGCTCAGCAAGTCCAGGTAGAGCTGATGGAAGCTTTCAGGTGGTTAGACACACGGCCAGCAGCAAGCAGACGCCTGGCTTCCTAGTTCTCCAAAAACATCCATGAAAATGCATCCTCTCTGAGGTTTCCTACACCCTAAGAAATAGCTGCTTTGTGACCTCTGAAATGACCAGGAAGGGAGAGTACTGTGGAGAGGGCAGGTCCTGCCTCTGCACCCCACAGATTGGCAAGGGATGTGCTGGCTCTCAGAAAAGGAAAGTTCTGGAAGAGATGGGAAGCTTCACTGCCTGTAAACTCCCTCCTACTGGTCCTACAGCTCTTCAAGGGGAACAGAAAACCTGTGATGTTGAGTGAGAATCTCGGCTGCCTTCACTGCCATCGTTGATTTGCCACGTTGTTCTCGGGTGTGAGCTTCAGAAAGCATAAACACATCCTCAGACACGTCGCTCCTGAAGCACGACCTGGGAATGCCACCAGTCCATGCACGGGCCTGGGGTTGCCACGAGCTCAATGTGGAGCTCCTGCCCCGGCCATCACCTCAGTCACTTGTCTGCCGAGCACGGCCCCTCACTGCCCAGGGAACGGCCCCAGCAGATGCCTGGGGGCCCAGCCTCAGCCTGTGGCCGTGGTCCTGGCTGGGCAGGGACATGGAGCTTGTTGGGCCCTGTGGCCCAGCTGCGCTGCTCACAGGCGCTCTGAAGTGCTGTGCACGTGATGTCACACTGCCACCTGTTCCAAACCACTGGCACCTACAGATTCCGAGGTGTGCCGAGCTTCAGTGCAAAGCCCGTGAAGGTGGGAGTTAGAAAGGCAGGTGTCTCTGCACTGGCAGGAGCATAACCAGGGAACAGACACCGCATCCTGGAGGACTTGGGGAGTCATGTTTGGGAAGAAGGCATAGAGGGCTCTGCCCCCCAGGTCCCAGGGCTCTGAGTGGCTGCTCTGCTCCTCTGCAGGAAGGAGAAAGCAGTGCAGGACGTGCACAGATCTCGCCCCGAGTCTCAGGCGATGCCTGAGTGGCAATACAGCGAGGTCTGTAGGGTGGGGCACAGGCCTGGGGCCACCATTCACCCTCACCCCTCCTGGACAAAGCACTTTCCCATCAGCAGATCTTAAATGCAGGAAGGTGAGACTGTCAACTCAGAGGACAAGGGGCAGGTGGCGGAATGTCTGGGGAGAGTTGGGAAATTATGGCTCACACAGCTGAGGGCCTTTCCTCTCCCCCTTCAGAATCTCAGCAGGACACCAGGAGGCTGTACCTCTCCCTCTCCCTCCAGGGCCAGGCTTGGAGGTGGCGTATGTCATTCCTAGATCTTGGTGGCACCCCATGTCATTTTGGTGGCAGGTCACCACCCTGTCTCTGTGTTACCCATCTTTTTCCAGGACTTTACTACACAAAGCTGGGGAAGTACAAAGTCCTCATTTCTATCAGATACACAGTTGGCACCCCACACACAGCCATCTGGGCAAAACCCAATGGCAACCGTGTTGACCTTAGTCTTAGGAAGTCAGTGCAGTTCTCAGAATGAGAACTTTCAGCCCAGCTGCTTCCTGGTGGTCATAAAAGCCACACCATAGAGAAGGCAAGACCCTCTAGGATCTGTCAGTCACACATCGCCACGACACAGCAAACTGTACAGTGCATGTCAGCCATGTGATACCAACCCAGAAAAAGATCCCAAGTCACTGACAAAGTATCAGAGAGTTTATTTGAGCCAATATGTGTGACCACAGCCTGGAAGACATAGATTCAAGAGGTCCTCAATCATAAGTTCTGATTTGCAGACCAAATTCCAGTATTTTTGTAATCACAGGAGGGGAGAAGAAAGGGAAGAGAAGGGACAGGCCCTTAATCAGTACATCAGGTTTCCATTGGTTACATGGTATCACATAGCCTGACAACTAGTTGTTGGTTACATCCAGGTACAGATGTATAAATGAGATCATGAGACACACTTTTAGCATTCCTAAGTGTATTAGTTCATTTCTGTTGTTTATAAGAGAATACCTGAAGCTGGATAACTTATAAAGGAACCAAATTTATTTCTTACAGTTTTGGAGTCTGGGATGTCCACAGTCCGGGGGACACATCTGGTGAGGGTCTTCTTCTGGGTGGGGGCTCTCCACAGGGTCCCATGTCGATCAGGGTGTCACATGGCAAGAGTGGGCTTGAGCAAGAGAGAGCTGACCTGCTCACTTGCTCTCCACGTAAAGCCTTCAGAACCACGCCCATCTATGAATGGATCAATCCATTCTCAAGGGCACAGTCCTCACAATCTAATCACCTCTTAAAGGCACCACCTTTCAAATACCATAACTGGATTTCCCAACCTGTTAGCACTGTTACAGTGGGTGTCAAGTTTCCAGCATGTGAACTTTGGGGGGACACATTTGACCCACAGCACTAAGTTAATACATATCCTCTTCAGGAGTCAGTAGGTCTGGTTTTCAGGCTTAAAAAAGTCTTGTGATAACAATCACACCACTGTTACAGTGGGTGTCAAGTTTCCAGCATGTGAACTTTGGGGGGACACATTTGACCCACAGCACTAAGTTAATACATAGCCTCTTCAGGAGTCAGTAGGTCTGGTTTTCAGGCTTAAAAAAGTCTTGTGATAACAATCACNCCTCTTCAGGAGTCAGTAGGTCTGGTTTTCAGGCTTAAAAAAGTCTTGTGATAACAATCACAGAAAGTGGAGACGTGGCTGCCACTCCATTCCAGGCCTCCCGAGGCTATAGGAATCTAGCTGGCCTTGTTCAGAGCAGATTCCTGGTTTACCAGTGGCTGGCTGTCTAGGTAAACACCGACATGCATGTTCATGGGAGTCGGCAGACCGTCAGATGGGGGACAGGAAGCCATGCTGTTCTGACCACTCTCTGTGTCCCCAGGCCTGGACACCAGGCAAGCACAGGTCATTGCCCTGTCCTCGGGGACCAAGTGCATCAGCGGCGAGCACATCAGTGACCAGGGGCTGGTGGTCAATGACTGCCATGCCGAGGTGGCAGTGCGGAGGGCGTTTCTTCACTTCCTCTATGCCCAGCTGGAGCTGCACCTGAGGTAACGGCCATGTCGGAGTGGGGGGTCTGGGGGGCTCGGCTCTGTGATGGGTGTGTTTACACACCACTGCGCTGAGCGGCCAGGGAGGAGGAGGGCCCAGCTCAGGGTGTGTGATCCCTTTCATCCTGCCATCTCCTGCACACGCAGGCAGCCACAGCCACAGGGCATCCACTCTCACCCAGGCCGGAGGCCTCCTGCCAGCCACACAGTGTCACCACACGGGCCAGTAAAGTGTTGAAATTCCAGGCATCTCCCTCATTATTCCTGTCTCTCCAGGAAACACCCTGCCTGCCTCCAAGTTACACACACACCCACATGCGTGCCCACATGCACAGACATGCGGGGACGCGCCCCATCCCAGCTCATCCATTTGGTGATCCTTTCCATTGAAACATTCAGGGGATTACTAAGGGTGACACTTCACTACGGCGACAGCACCCTACAAACAGCTTCCTTTACAAGGCCCAGATGCCTCGAGGGTCGGGGAGACCGTGGGGCACAGCCCCCTCCATTTCACAGGCCGTCGAGGTGCAGTCAAGCTGTGTCCCCAGCCAGCTGCTCAAACTCGAAAGACCAGAGAGACAAGGAGACGACCCAACTCTCGGGCCAGCTAGAGGAGCACCAGGATGTCCCCCAGAGGGAGTAGCCCACCCAGCGTGGCCTAAATAGTTCCCCTTACTATGGGTTTGAAGGAAGGTGATACCCTTCTCACCACCACCCTCCAGTTATTAAGCCCAGAACTAGCCTTATGTTTAAGAAAGAAAGATAGGGGAAAAAAATATGGTACCCACCGTCTCTTGGGAGATGGGGCTGTTGCTCCCTCTGAAACCCATGTCGCACTTGAACTTAGACCTGTGTTCAGTGACAAAGTGGGGGCCACTGGGTCAATGCCACTACTCCCAGGTAAACCTTCATTTCAGCCGTGGGCAGGTGCTAGGTTGAAGTCGACGTCTCTGCTCGACTTTGATGAAACTCTGTCCATCTCAAAGGGGACCCGCAGTGCAGGGTTTCTCCCTCCTCTGTCCTCTTTTGAGGATTCCTCAGCTGAGGAAACTTCTTACAGAGCTCAGGGCTTCTGCGAGACTGCAGGGCTGCCTCTCAGATGCCAGGCCCAGGCAGGTGCCACTTTGTCCCTGTCCCCAGGACTGGTCCCCAGCCACAGGCTCAGTTTTCACTGGGCAGGTCCCAGGCAAGCAGCTCTCAGCCCCTTGGACACACGGACAGTTTGACTTTGGTGCTCAATGTCTTCCAGCTCCATCCTCCTGGCCTCAGTCCTCCTGCACCCCATATTCTCGAGTGTGTTCCCTCTCTAGACCTTTCCTCGGGCAGTGTGTCACAGGTGGCTGATGGTAGGTTTCGAGATGTTCCTCTGCAGGCGCAGGTGCGTTCTAACAGAGGTGTTCTAGGATGAAGAAGCTGCTGAGACCTGAGAAATGTGCCCCAGTGTTGGAATTTCCTGTGTTCTTGTGGCTGTCTGCTCTGGCATTTCTCTAAGTCACATTACACAGGAGCCGGAATGCAGGTGGATCAGAGCATGTGACGCCTCGGTCGCACTCCTGGCTGAGCTGTAGGATGGGCACAGGTCTCTTTGCAGACACTCCTTCCCCACACCTTGCAGCCATCCTTTCTTACCTGCTGAATCAGCCTTCCTCAAATCCACTGATCCTGGGATTTCGGGGGCCCTGGTGAGGGACTGATTCATGCCCATCAGCATGTGCTGAAGACACACAATGTGGCAAACACACTCAAGTAAAGGCGACACCTTGACACCCTCAGGTGATTTTTATCTGTGCCTCTGTGCAGCTGGCAGCCTGGCGTGGCCCACATCAGCCCCAGGAGGCCTGGAGTTGCTGCTGGAGTCGGATGTAGGGGAAGGGGTTGGAAATCTCTCTAAACGTGGGGAGGGGTTACTCCTAGATATCTCCCTCTCAACTGGAAATATCTCCAAGCACCTTCAGCCCTTCTGTGTGTCACAGAAGGCAACTGTGCCATGTACGAGGAGCTGGCTGCAAGCCGGGTGCAGAGTCTCCTGCTGGGAGGGATTCAGACTTCCCGGCAAGGGGGTGCCGGCCATGGCCATGAAACACCAGCAGAAAGGAGTGCGGCTCCAGCACAGGCTCTGTGCTCAGCGTCCCAGGGACGAGCCCGGGCACTGGGGCCCAAAGAGGAGGCAGGGTGCCTGGGCAGAACAGGGGTGGCAGCCAGAGCAGCCAGGCAGAGCACAAGGCTGGGGCACCTCCAGCTCTCCTGCAGAGAAAATGTCTGTGCCACTGCCTGCCAGACCTCAGGGCCCCACCGAACAGAATCCATCATCGGTGGGGTGGACGTGCCTCCCAGCAGGCCAGTGAAAGTGGACTGCCAGGACCAGGGGATGAAACGCGGGAGAGGAGACACGGCCTGGCAAGGGTGACTCCCACTGGGGGCCTCTCACCAGAGAGAGGGAACCCCTCAAGGTTGAGTGTAATGGCTGGGGGAGGGGTCCATAGGCAAAAGTCCCATATCCCTCCCAGATCAGGACACATGTCTTTCTGGATCTCCCTAGCCATGGCTCAGACAGAGATGAGCAGGTTCCTCGCCATGTGCTCTCCCACCTTGTCACGCTGCAGCCAGGCCCAGCCCCTTCTCGAAGCTCCTTTTCTCCTTTTAATGCACACACCTTGCCCACCAGGGTGCCNCAGCCCCTTCTCGAAGCTCCTTTTCTCCTTTTAATGCACACACCTTGCCCACCAGGGTGCCAGCAGGCACAGTCCCCTGCGAGATCCTGCATGGGGAGCACTTGCTTGCGCATCGGCAGGGTGGCAGCTTTGTAGACATGTAGACAGGACAGCAGCAGAGAAAACGTGGACGTGCATATCGGGGCAGGTGAGGGCGGGGCTGTGTGTGTGTTCAGTGGTTCCGTTGCCACCAATCCTAGATGTGTCTGTGCAAGGAGAACACATGGTAGGCAGTGTGAAAGAGGAGAATATTGGGGCACAATGCTGCCACACGGGATCAAAGCATGCACCTGGCTGGGACATTTCTGGATTGGCTTGTGACTAACAACCTGGCACCTCTTTGTGACCCCAGCAAGCGGCGGGAGGATGTGGAGCGGTCGATATTCGTGCGGCTGAAGGAGGGAGGCTACAGGCTGCGGGAAAACCTTCTTTTTCACCTCTACGTGAGCACCTCGCCCTGCGGAGACGCCAGACTCAACTCGCCCTATGAGATCACCACACACCGTAAGAGACACGCTTTTTACCTTTTGTAAGCTCACAGCCGCAAGCTGCTCCAGCCTATGGCTGCCCGGGCACCATGTGGGATGCGGCCTTGGCCCTAAGATGCCGAGCCGATTGCACCTGCTGTTAGCTGGACAATCACACCTCCAACATCTTAGTCTGAAATGC